CACACACACACACACACACACACACACACACACACACACACACACACACACACACACAGAAACACACACGCAAACGTGAACACAATCAAGAAAGGGGTTTACATGCCTCTATTGTACTTCATGTTGCTTGCTGTAGAAGTCAAAACTGTTTCATTGTTGGATTGTTTCAACTCCAGGGCTTTCGTGGTCTGTAATCGGATTGAATATGCTTTGATTTTGGATCTGCTCATCTGGGTGGAATAGGGGCTGTTGTGGTGAAAATTCAAAACACACACACACACACACACACACACACACACACCCCTGCCCATGCCCGTTCTGCGGAAGGTACCTTGCACATAGTTCTTACCAGGCTTTGTTTCTTGTTACCAGGCTTTGTTTCTTGCCTCTTTTTCGCCTTCATTTTTCATTCTTCGGCTGTCTGTTTTCCGTGTTTCGCCCCTCAACTTTTCAGATGTTTTCCTCAGTTTTGTTTTTTGTCTGTTCAATTGCTTGACGTCCCGAACTGGTGTGGTCTTTCGTTTAGGTGACTTGACAGTTCAGACTGACCGGTCTTTTTCATAAAGTCGTGAAAACCGTGTGAAGAGCAAGAGAGAACTTGGGTCCTTACGTGTTCCAATTAAAAAAGTTTTAAGCCGCTAGGTAGCTTTCGGAAAATATGAAACGGACTTTATCGAAGTAGTATATAGTTGAGGTTGGAATGGCAGCAGTGTGTGTTGGGAGCAGCAAGCGCCTCATAATGTGGACTTCGCGATCAAAGCAGACATCATGGATCTTCCTGTGGACATGGAGCTGGTCAAGAACCACACCCTGAAGAAGTGGTATTTAAGGCAAAGTGAACCCTCTTGGCCCTCTTCCGTTTCTCCGTTTCCCCTCTCCTTCAATCCCGTACCCCTTCTACCAGTGAATCCCTCTCTCTCTCTCTCTGATGATCTTGTCTTTTTTATGCTGTTCATTTGGACTCGAACTTGGGTCTGTATCTCAACAGTTCGTGGGTGGACCAACTGAGCTGCGCACGTTGGTGATCCCTCTGATGACCTGGCATGTGGCAAGCACCAAAAACTGCTCAAGGGACTGTCTCGCCCTCCAGTGCCCCACCATCACCCTCGGCAGCATTCAAGAGAGAGCTTGTTACTACTTCTTGCATGTGGCAAGCACCAAAAACTGCCGAGGAGCCTGGAGTACTTCCTCCTTCCTAAGACCATGGGGGAGCGTGGAGTACCTCCTCCTCTCTCCTCCTCCATCTCACACCCTATCATCCTTTGCTCATCTGTCCACCGTACAGTTCTGACACGTCGAACTTTTGCGAGCAGTAGCACAGTGTTTGGGAACTTCGGGTGCAATTTCTCACATGCATTTTTTCCGTTTCACATGTCTGAAATTCAATTCCGGAATCTGTTTTGTCTTGATAAATTCTTGCATTCATTTTTTTTTTTTCGTTTCGCGGTGGCAACTTTCGCCTGTCTGAAATTCGATTCCGGAATTTGTTTTGTCTTGATAAATTCCTGCATTCATTTTTTTCGTTGCATCTGGATTTCAATTCGGGGAATTTGTTTTGTCTTGATAAACGGACTGTTGGTATCGTCTTGTCTTCTCTCCCTTTGTACGTGCGACCCGGACACCTATTTGCATTCATGTGCGATTTTCAGAACCATTGGATTTCGCGCTTGGAGGGCAATGATATGAATGAGCTTTCACGCAGCATGCTTTGCGGCGTCAGGGCCCGGGAGATTGTGCCCGGTTTGGTCGGCATGCAACCCCCCTTGATCGTCTAAGCACAAGGAGGGCTACTTGGTTGAAGTTGTGCCTGGGTACACCAGGTCATGGTGGTATGTGATGTAGTAACCATGCTGGGGTGAACTGAAATTCACATCTATGAGTTTTTACATCCCAGCTCACTTCAGGTGCTAGCGGTGTCTGCTCTTACCAGCACCTCTTGCACTGGAAGGGAGTTAAAAAAAAAAAAAAAAAAAAAAAAAAAAACCATCCCAGCTCACTTTGCCTTGTGGTAAGCGCTCTGATTTTTAATCGGCTGGTTGCAGGTTCGATGCCTGGAGGGAGCATTTGCGACTTTCAGAACCATTGGACTTCGCGCTTGTTTTTTCTTTATGCATTCGCGCTTGGAGGGCAACAATATGAATGAGCTTGCCTATCTTTCAATTTTTTTGTTGTCTGACTGGAAGAAACCGAAGTTCCGTACGGAATATCCATTGTTGGTCTGTAGTGTTTCGATTGTCATATTATCTTGGCTCCATTGAGCTGAAGTCCACCAGCATCACAGCACCTCTTCTCCCCACAGACATTATGATTCTGACGAGCTATGCCGTATTGAACGATAATCGTCACTTCTATTTTCATTGAATGCCAATATTGTTGAAGGTTTTTGTTCTCATGAATTTCGACCACCATTTGCCCACTCAACAGCCAGCATGGCATTTGAAATCGGTTTATCATAACCAGTGAATATGGGATATTTGCAATCTGGAATCGAGGCCATAACCTTCTCGAGTACCGTTTCCATTACAACAGAAAGACCTACAAGAGAAGGATAACCTTGTCTCTCCACAGTTCCAGATGTCCCGCCGGTGCACCCCGCTTTCAGGGAGGGAGACTGTGAGGGCCGAAGTGCTAGGGCTTCATCCCCACACCAACCACGGCAGACAACAGAGAGATCAGGCTGCTGAAGGCGCAGCTTGAGCCGTAGAATCCCACCTGCAAGGAGTACACAACAAGACACCTGGATGGCGAAGATGCTCAGTGACAGGAAGAATTGTTAAACAGTGGTGGTAGAGTCCAGTTCACCTGACACAAACAGCCAAGGGCAAGCAGAAGTGGAAGGAGGGGCCATGGAGGACAGGGACCGGTACGGTAGAGGGATGGAGGCATTTAGGAGAGAAATGGAAGAGAAAGATACGGAAATGAGAGATTTTCGGGATGTAATCATGCGACTGGCTGGTGCCCAAAAACAGAACACCACCCTGCACAGTCCAGCCTGTGCCTCCACCCCTTCCCCTCCCTCCTCCTACAACTCGCCCTCCCGCGAGCCCCCAAGGGACACCTGTTAATGCAACCCCACCGGCTTGAAACCCGACTCCACCTCCAAACTCCCGCACTGCAGCCGGCCAACCAAACTCTGACTCCCCCAAGGTCTGCTTCTGGATTCTCTGTCCACAACATGCTCAAAAGACCCCTTGTCTCTCCCATGTCCCTAGAACCCAAGACATTCTCGTCATGCTCCACGAGATTGACAGCATCAGCCGGGGGCAGGCTGGGCTATCTCCTTGAGCAAAAGAGGAGGTTACTCAAGCTGTCACTGCCCAACTTCAAAGTATCATGCGACAAGGAGGGTATTGCATATGTCGACAAAGACGAAACTTTTCCGGCGAGAGATGGTTAATGGAAGGCCCAAAATCCGGGTTTTTTTGCCTCATTGCCACAAGTAAAATTTCCTGAACAAACAACGCAGGCTCATAATACAGACATTAAAAAAAAAAAAAAAAAAAAAAAAAAAAAAANAAAAAAAAAAAAAAAAAAAAAAAAAAAAAAAAACAGGAAAAAAAAAAAAAAAAAACTCAAAAGCAGTTTAAGCACTATAAATTTAGTATAAAACCCTATTTGGAGACATGTGAGAAGAAAATTGTTTGGAGATTGGAAAGTGGGGAAATTGTATATGCACCGTTTGGTAAGCGCCATACATGCAAGCGCACGTCGTGCGGGCGGTTCCCTATGTGCGGCGCACGCGCCCAACCGATCCCGTGCGGCGCGCGACTGTGCAGAGAACGACCCGTCACCCCCCTCAGAAAAAAAAAAAAGGCCGTGGTCGAAACGGTGCGTTTGAGGTCCCCCACCAAAATTATAAGCGAGATGAAAAAAAAAATTACAGGAGTACTGCCTCACCTTGCTACTCCTCCCCTTCCTCATCCTCCATGTCTCCTCCTCCCTTCTCCTTTTCGTCTCCTCCTCCTCCTCCTCCTCCTCCTCCTACTCCTACTGTTCGTCCTCCTCCTCCTCCTCGTGCTTCCTCATCTTCCATGCCTCCTCGTCTCCTTCCCTTCCTCATCTTCTTCCCTTCCTCGTGTCCTCCCTTTCCTCGTGTCCTCCCCTTCCTCGCCGTCCATGTCTCCTCCTCCTCCCACTCGTCCTCCTCGTCCTGCCCTTCCTCTTTTCCCTCCGTCCATCTCTTCTCCTCCCCCATCTCGACGACGACTCCTCGTCGTCCTCGCTATCCTCGTCGTCCTCCTCGTCCACATCCTCCTCCTCCTCTCCATATCCCCCTCTCCTTGCCATATCCCCATCTTCCTGTCATACGCCCCTGTTCCCCCTCCCAAAAAAAGACAAAATAATAAAAATTAAAATTAAAAAACGTGCACGATTCTGCACAGGCACCCCCCGCACGGAACTCCGTACGGAACTCCGCACGAATGTGCGGCTCGTGCGGTTGCAAGTATGGTAAGTGCTAATGCTAACGCGAGGGTTTCTCGTGCTCTCACAGGATGGTCCCTTGCGCTGCGTCCTACCTGCAGCAAGGTGTCCTGCGGCACCGAGCACAAAAAGCAGCCACACTTCCTTTCGAACTGAACCAGGAGGAGCGTGCGTCCTACCTGCAGCAAGGTGTCCTGCGGCGCCGAGCACAAAAAGAAGCCACGCTTTCCTTTTGAATCGAACCGGGAGGAGTGTGCACCCTACCTGCAACAAGGTGCACTGTGGCGCCGAGCGTAAAAGCAGCCACACTTTCCTTTTGACTCGAGAGGGGAGGAGTGAGCAAGGGAGGGAAGGGGACCTGTGATATGCAACCTCACACCCCGTGCAGCGTCCCGTACCCGTGGGGTGCCAATCAGAGTTATTGGGGCGTGGCCAAGAATTTTGGGCGGGGGTTGAACCACCAGGGCGAAACTGGGGGTCCTCGCCTCAGTCCCGAGGGTTGCTTCTGAAATTCCAGACAATCAGGGAGAAGGGCAAAAGTTCAAAATTAGATAAGCGCGGAAGGTTAGGACACAGGCAAAAGTCCGCCCGTTGGCTTAGGGACGAGAGCCCAACTAAATCACCCCCAACTAGAAGCGCAAAAGGTTGTGCAAAAAGAGAAAAACGAAACTACGAATCTACCACCTTTCACGTCACCCTTTTCATGGGGACAGGGGAGGGGCAAGGAGACAAGGGACACTAGGACGGCCAAGTCTTACCACGCGATACACTTCGTAGAATAAACCATGGTAACCGCCCGGACGTCCGGACCGCGTTCCAGACAGTCCGGTGTCCGGTGTGCGGAGTCCGGTCCCCATGTTCGGATGGAGGCTCCTGGGGCAAAAATCAAAAAAAAAAATGGGGCGCCCCAGGACGTTTGTCGGGTCCTAGCCGCCCCTCGAAAAATAACGCAGTGATTTTTAAGTGTCCTTTCACCCCACCGGACATGACCTAGAGGTCCAGACACAAGACACTGCAGGTTTTTGAGGTGGCGGGTTTCGCACAGGCCCGAGCAATTTCAAAGCGGCC